TTAATATTAATTTTTAGTTTTATTATAAATTAATAATAAAAAATATGTCTAACGCATAAAATAAAAAATTTCAAATAGAAGAAAAGGAAAATTTTAGTTTTATTATAAATTAATAATAAAAAATATGTCTAACGCATAAAATAAAAAATTTCAAATAGAAGAAAAGGAAAATATATATATTAAAAAAAAAATAGGAAAGAAAGAAATGTTGGTATTGAAACTACTACTAAACTAACTAGGTTCGCTGTGTTCTTCGCAGGCAGATTCAGTCTTCCCACAGATCTGTTAAGTACCCCATTTCCATATTCCCTTCACTCCTCACCTTTTTGCTCCACTTTCCTATTTTTCACTCTTTTCACTCTTTTCTCGATTCAAAAAGTTAAAAAAGAAAAAAGAAAAAAGAGAGTAGATTTTCCATTGCTGCACCTTGAAGAAGCGGCAAAAGGTACGTTACTTCCTCTCTTTCATGAAAGACTTAACTCTGTTGAAGTTGGTTGAGTAGCTGAAATTGGGTGCCCTTTGTTCACTCCTTTAAGTAAAATGTAATAATGCATGGTGGGTATTTCACCATTTCTATTTTTTCTTGTTTCTTGAGCTTGGTTTGGAGTAAAGGTTTATACTTTGGTTAGATGGGGGGTTGTAGCTTTAGATCTGATTGCTTTGTGGTAGAAGAATACACATTTGTGTGACAGACGGTGGATTCTGATCAATGTATGTTTTCCTTTTTGCTTGTTTTTCAATTTTTAACAGTGCTTGGTTGCTGGAACAATGTTTGAAAGAATGCTAAAGATCATATTTTGTGGGTCAAAAATATTTTAAATACTCTGCTCAGCTTGACAGCTTATATTGATTCTTTACTTTGTTTGGTTGATTTCAATAATGGTGACAGTAAATAGAACTTCTATCTTGTTATTGTCTCTCCCCTTTTCTCTGTAGCCGAATGGAGGGTCGCTTATGGGTTTCAATGCTTTGATTTTGCAGGGTTTTGTGCTTCAAGCAGAGAGCTTTCACAGATGTGCCTGGTATTTAAATTTTTAGTTGTAACTTAGTTGTGTTTGTGGTGATTCATGAGGTTCTTCAATCCTTTACCTTCTTCAGTTCTTTGATTGCTATGTGTTTGTGCTGAGCTTCTACCCTGGAAAGGTTGCCTATTATTCCATTTTACAGCCTTTGAGCTCCTTCTGGTCATTGTAGATTTTAGCTTAAGTCCTTTGTGTGCTCATATATCATGTCAATCACAATAATACAGATTAGTTCTCTCTGAAGACTTTTCAAGTGTTGAGGTTGCTGTCATACCCCTGCATCCAAATCCTAATTTTTGATAGTGCTGTAGACTTGTTGAGTGCTCTTCAGAAAAGATGCAGAAGCCTCCGCAGAATGTAGACTTTGCACTAAAGGAGACCTCGCCCAAGATTAGTGCAGGTACAGGGGTTATCACAGCTGATAAACTGGCATGCACCTATGACCTTGTGGAGCAAATGCAATACCTTTATGTCCGAGTTGTCAAGGCAAAAGATTTACCAGCGAAAGATGTCACTGGTAGTTGTGACCCCTATGTTGAGGTGAGGCTTGGGAACTATAAAGGAATTACTAAGCATTTTGAGAAGAAGACCAACCCTGAGTGGAATCAGGTTTTTGCTTTTTCAAAAGATAGAATTCAAGCTTCAGTATTGGAAGTGGTGGTGAAGGACAAGGATGTTGTTGTTGATGATTTCATTGGTGGGGTTCTGTTTGAACTCAATGAAATTCCGAAAAGGGTCCCACCGGATAGCCCCTTGGCGCCTCAGTGGTACAGATTGAACGACCGAAAGGGGGAGAAAGCTAAGGGAGAACTGATGCTGGCTGTTTGGATGGGAACTCAAGCTGATGAGGCATTTCCTGACGCATGGCATTCAGATGCAGCTGCAGTTAGTGGTGATGCTGTGGCAAACATTCGGTCAAAAGTATATCTATCTCCTAAGCTTTGGTATGTGAGGGTCAACATAATTGAAGCTCAGGATTTGATACCTGGTGATAAGAGTAGGTTCCCAGAAGTTTATGTGAAAGCTCTTCTTGGAAATCAGGCTTCGAGAACTGGAGTATCTAAAAGTAAGACTATCAATCCAATGTGGAATGAGGACTTAATGTTCGTAGTTGCTGAGCCTTTTGAGGAACCCCTAATGCTAAGTGTGGAGGATAGGGTGGGACCAAACAAGGATGAAAATTTGGGGAGGTGTGCAATTTCCCTGCAGAATGTACAAAGAAGGTTGGACCACAAGCCTGTAAACTCTAGGTGGTTTAATCTTGAGAAGCATGTGATTGTAGATGGAGAGAAGAAAGAAACTAAATTTGCCAGTAAGATTCATTTGAGGATCTGTTTGGATGGAGGTTACCATGTTCTAGATGAATCTACTCACTACAGTAGTGATCTTAGGCCAACAGCTAAACCATTGTGGAAGCCCAGCATTGGCATTCTGGAAGTTGGCATTCTAAGTGCTCATGGACTGATGCCAATGAAGACAAGAGATGGGAGAGGAACCACAGATGCTTATTGTGTGGCTAAGTATGGGCAGAAATGGGTACGGACAAGGACAATAGTGGACAATTTTATGCCAAAGTGGAATGAGCAGTACACTTGGGAGGTTTTTGATCCATGCACTGTCATTACAATTGGGGTTTTTGATAATGGTCATCTACATGGGGGAAATGGTGGGACAAAGGACTCGAGAATTGGGAAGGTGAGGATCCGGTTATCTACCCTAGAAGCTGATAGGGTGTACACACACTCCTACCCTCTTCTGGTGCTACTGCCTTCAGGAGTAAAGAAGACCGGTGAAGTTCAATTGGCTGTGAGGTTCACATGCTCATCTTTGATTAATATGCTGCATTTGTATTCGCAACCATTGTTGCCAAAAATGCATTACATTCATCCGCTCACTGTACTTCAGCTTGAGAGCTTAAGGCACCAGGCTATGCAGATTGTTTCAATGAGGCTGAGCCGGGCTGAGCCACCACTGAGGAAAGAGGTTGTGGAGTACATGCTTGATGTTGATTCACATATGTGGAGCATGAGGAGGAGCAAGGCAAACTTTTTTAGAATTATGGGGGTTCTGAGTGGATTGATTGCAGTTGGAAAATGGTTTGATCAGATCTGTAATTGGAGAAACCCTCTTACAACCATTTTGATTCATATCCTTTTTGTTATATTGGTTCTTTATCCTGAGCTAATACTTCCCACTGTTTTTCTCTACCTATTCCTGATTGGAATTTGGAACTTCCGCTGGAGGCCTCGACACCCGCCGCACATGGACACACGCCTCTCACATGCTGATGCTGCACATCCTGATGAACTAGATGAAGAGTTTGACACATTCCCCACTTCTCGGTCATCAGATATTGTTAGGATGAGGTATGATCGCCTCAGAAGTATAGCAGGAAGAGTTCAGACAGTGATTGGTGATCTTGCAACTCAAGGGGAAAGATTTCAGTCTCTGCTTAGCTGGAGAGACCCAAGAGCTACCACTCTATTTGTCACATTCTGTCTGATTGCTGCCATAGTGCTTTATGTCACTCCATTTCAAGTTGTGTCCCTTCTTACAGGCATTTATGTCCTGAGGCATCCCAGGTTCCGCCACAAGCTTCCATCAGTTCCCCTCAATTTCTTCAGAAGGTTGCCTGCAAGATCAGACAGCATGTTATGAGCAGAATCACCCATTACTTGTTACTCTTTGTCATCAGCTCTTCAATATCTATATGGAGACAATAAAGTAGGCAAAAAGTAGCAGCTATTCTCGCAGTTTATGTTTTTTATATTTTGCTGGCAGATGCATGGTGCTGAAGTTTAGTTTTCCACTGCCATAGTTGGTAAATTTTGTGCAACTTTAACTTGTTTTATGTTGTTTCAAGAAACATGTCAATTATTATCAGTGTCGTCATTGCTAGACCTCAACTTGACTATGATCCATCTTTTGCTTCATCATCTTACTAATACCGTGTGCCTGCTTGTGTTATTACTCTGCAAGTTGGAGTTTTGGTGTTTGGTCTAGAAAATGCAAGTGACAGCCTAATTCTAGCATTTTACTTATGCGACCCTTCTTTACATGCCTCGGTGTATATGGTCCCAACTCCCTGATCTTAAATCATTAGGAAAAGCAATGGCCTTTATTTATCTCTTCAGACTTCATTTATTTAATACTCTTCATAAGAAAGGCATGGATCATCTAGCAAAAGGCTATCTTTTCTCGCATAAAGAGTCTTGTGAGATTCTTAGCATCCTTCTATAGTTTTTATTCCAGGTCTCCTTTTCCTTTTTCCTAACAATAATTATGAAAAGATTAAAATATTTTAAGGAATCAACACAGAAAGAAGATTTATTAAAGATATTTGAACAATTTCATAAGAAATCTAATCATGTTAAATGTCATGACACCTGATTTTTATTATTCTCTTTTAGGTGGTAAACAAGCATGGTGGGACTATGATAGGATTATTAGCATGAAATTCAGAAAAGTTGGTCTATTATTAATGGAAAGAAGCCTACAGATTTTTCTTAGAATCTAATGTTTACTTGGGTCTATTAAAAGATACCAAATTAACTTTGCTTAGAATCAAACAATGTCTATGATCATCACTGATGATCTCTTCTTCATGAATTACTGCCAATACATGGCTAGCTGTTGGTTTAAGAAGCATGTTTCATCCACTGAGCTGAGAAAGATGTTGTGTTGAATAGGGGCCTCTACACATTTTCCTGCAGGAACCGCACACTTTTTCAACGCATGGAATTTTCACTCACCTAAAGTTCTAAATGCCTGATATGTATTTAGTGAGAACGTAAAATGCAAGAACCATACTCTTTTTGGGTGCGAAATCCTCAACCATGTAAGTTGTAAAGCTTATTCTAATCTGTACTCGAGCTGGAAAAGGACATCATGTTCATGTCAAAATGTAAGACGAGGGATGATGTCTATTATTTTATCCATGTTTAGAGCAGGAATCATCCTCTTACCAAATCATTGCAAATTGAAGATTGAGTTAAGTTCTCTTATTCATTTGTGAATTTGGGTGAGTATTTGTACTTATTACAATATAAAAAAATGAAGCTAAACACACTAATTATGAATTGGGCTTTAAGTTCAATGGTTCAACCCCAAATCTTAAGTGCTTGAGTGAGGTGGTCGGAATTTCGAACTCTACCATCGTGAACTCCACCAAAAAGTAACCCGATGGCTGAGCACCTCATTTGAGGGGTGGAATGTTCACCTGGTTTGCGAATCCCCAGTTGCTAACAATTAATTCAAATTAATTTCTTAACTATTACCGTTGTCAAAAAAAAAAAAAAGGGCTAATTATAAGAGTTAAAATTCACTTAAACACATCTTATATGGTATCATAGTTAAATAATATTTAGATAATTTATTTTTTTACTTTTAATTATTAAGATTTATTTATTTTTATATTATTTATTAAAAATAATTATTTTTTATTTAAAAAATTAAAAAAGTTTAACTATTAAAAATAAAAAAATAATATGTTTGTGTCCTGAAAACTGGTGCCCAGGAAAACACTGGATTTTGCTCTTAAAAACTTGATAATCGTCAATGAAGTATCTGAAATTGTGTGTGTGTGTGTTTTTTTTTAATTAAAATTTATTTGCAATGTAAATATCAGAAATGAATGTCACTGTTCTTTGTTCAAACATAGTGCAGGCCTTGGGTTAGGTTTTGACTCTCTTTACCAAATATGGACACTTTACCAAACATGGTTTCTATTTTCTATTAACATCGTCAGCTTGACAAGGACTTTACTATATGCATGATTGATAAATAAAGCATGGTCCTTCTCTCACACATACGCTATCCCAAATCTCACATTGAAGATATCGAAATTAAAGCACAACCAAATTAAAGCGCGGTTGTGAGTTGTATATAAATAATATAATAAATTATTATTAATATATTAAATTTGAGTTTTTAAAAGTGATACAAATTTAAATTAAATATACATAATAAATAATAATTAAAATTATTTTTAACTATAAAATTCATTATATATAGAATCTTAAGTAATTTTTAAGTAATTAATTTTAAAATTATAGTATATTCTGTTTCTATATCAATTTATCACTGCTCAAAAAACTATAAAATTCATCAAAATTTTATCTTAAAACAACAAAATCACTCCATAAATCACATCAAAGGAAATCTACAACGTCGAGTATTTTGATGGGAACTTTTGTGCTGGAATGATTCAATTGAATTTGTCTTCTTATTTGTAACAAGTAAGAAGATATATAGATGCCTCTTTCGAAATTGCCTATGATGAACTGTTCTTGTAACACGGAAGAAGATAGATGCCTCTCGAAATTGGCTATGTTTACTGTCTTTGGCCTGCAAACCAGTTGTGTTAGACTGATTTCATGTTTGCATCGATTATGAACCAACTAATTGTGATGGTAGTCCAAGGTGAACTACCCAAATGAGGTAAACAACATTGGATGAACTTGGATTACATTTGAGCTCATCCTCATGACGATTGAGTCCATGGTGAACTAACCCAGATGAGATAAACAACCTCGAATGAACTCGAATTACGTTTGAGCTCATCCTCACGACAATCAAGTCGGAGGTAAACTACCCCGGATGAGATAAACAATCTTGGATGAACTCGGATGACGTTTGAGCTCATCCTCATGACAACCAAGTTTGAGGTGAACTACCTCGGATGAACTCAGAGTTTGCTTGAGCTCATCTTCATGACAGCTAAGCTCAAGTCGAGCTCATTCCTTTTATACTTGGTCTACAGTAAGTTTGTACATGCTCAATCTTTGTATAAGAAATTTTCGTAATGATTGACACATATGATCTTGGTTATCCACAATGAAGAACATGTGAACACCTCTTCGAAAGCTATAAATATCCCTCAAGGGTCCTTCCCCAAAGGTACTTGAGGCCGTTGAGATCGAACTCAAACCTTGTCTTTATTTCTTTTTTGGTAGACCCAATTATTACTCATTTAGGCATCGGAGTGTCTACCTCAAGGTCCAACCTCGAGGCTCTGCGAGTCAATTGAAGAGAAGATATGAGCAAAAGAAGAATTTGGA